CAACCCGTGCCCTTGCAGTGACCGCCATCACAATCACATCATGCACTGAAGGAAAAAGTGTACATAACAGTTGTACACAACACATGGTCACAATACCAAGCTTACCAAAAAAGGACAAACAACCATGTATCTTTTGTAACAACATCTGTCATAAGAAACAATGGAGGAGCTGAGTTCACCATGAAACCAGCCAAATAGGCATACAGCTCTTGCGAAGAGGCAGGAGAGTCGTTAAGGAAGAGGGTGAGAACAACATAAAAAGAAAGATGTAGGAGATAAGAGAAAGACTAGATTGTCTTCCACAAAAAAAGTGAGTGTCTGGTTGTACAGGCCCGATGCTCGCCGCTCAATCTGCAAGAGCACAGGGCTAGCAACATCGGAGAATATATTGTCACATAACTACAAACTAAAAGAGCGCACTTTGCGGAACAAAGAATAAAACCAAAAAACGGGCACAGTGATAACATGCAAAAATAAAAATAAAAATAAAAAATAAAAACAAGGGCAGATTGAAACTATTAAATTTCTCATTCTTCTTTGAACTCCACCTCCACTGTGCCTCTCACGTGCAAGGCTCGCCACGTTGATGAAGTTGAGCGCGAGVTGCCCCCATCCCCGTATGCCATAACAACCCACTTGCACGCTGTGAGAGAGGCAAAGTGAAGGGGAAGGTCTTAAACACAGGGAAAAGCTCAAGAATAAGGTTGTCCTTAACGACAGAAAGGACACACATTGTAAGGATGGGGTGGATGAGCTTATGGAAGACCTAACTGAGCATTCTCAAAACAACAACTGCCACGACGGATGGCATTAAGCATGCCCACCATACATTCCTGACAAATAGCATGCCTATTGCAGGCCAGAATAAAGGAGGAACGCCCCCCACAAAAAAGCATGCATTCAGCATAGCGTTCGTGGCCACAAAATGGACATATAGTGTCCGGATGAGGAGGGTGCCTACAGTCAGGAACGGAGGGACAATCCTGTACACATATTGATGAAGAAACCATCTCGTGGTAGTGATTGTGACAAAGATGATGGCGAGTACACCCAAGTGCAACAGTGTCTGTGGCTGTGCAAAGGAGAAGATCACACAGTGTCTGTACATTGTACTGCTGCACTACGGTGCCAGGGAATGATCTTCGACATAAAGGAGGTTGCGAACAGTTTGATGTGGCAAGAGAACAGCATCATAGAGTAAGAAATCAGTAATATCAATCACGGCATGGACCATGACACCGTCGTTCCAGATCCTCCCAATGGTCAGAGGCGTGTACAATAGCCATGTAATGGCCAGGCCCATGCACAATGCAGGCAGAGATGCGGGATGGAGGATTAAACAACTCACCTGGCAAAGCGTGGCGTAGTTCAAGCTGGCGGTTCCTCATCGCTATTTCTAGGACAGCGATCATAGAACCTCCTTCCCTGGTGTAATTACGATGCTCTGGCTGTAGGTCGGGGGGATCAGCGAGATTAGCGAGATCAACATCAAGCTGCAGGGCAATTGCAAGGAAATCTGATGGTGTATACAACGGCCGATTGAGAACGCGAAGGCAGCTATTAGTTGCAGTCAGACCACAGAGATTGGCGGGGATCTCAG